AGCCCGGTAGGTTCCAGCCTTAGTTTACCCTCTCCCTACTCAAGGTGGAGTTGCTCTGGTTTAAGTGCCTCTGACAGAGCACATGGATGCAATCTGTAGTGTGGGCCTGGAGGGCAAATGAAAGTCACCCAGCACAAACAGGTGGCTGAAATAAGCAAGCTACTGATATGCTATCTAATGTATTATTTAGTTACACCTCAGGAATTACAATCACATGTGTTGGATATATAGCTTCTCCACAAAATGATTTTCTTTGCTCATGGATCATTGGGACAAAATTTCAAGGACGTTGAACCTTAAAAGAAACTCATAGGTAGATCTCTCCATGGAGGATCCATTTTACAGAAGCAACAGCAAGTAAAGTGTCTTGAACAAGGTTTCACACAACTTTGTGATTGTCCTGAGAGTAGAGGCCAGGCCTGTGGTTTCCTTTGCCACATTCTGACACCCAGAGCAGGCCGCCACGGGCCCTCCATGGTGCTCTTCTACAGAGGTGCCAGACCCTACCTGTTCATTTCCCAGCTTCCCAGAGAAATTCAAGCAGGGGTCTTTCTCCCACAGCCCTCTGGGAAGACCTTTGAAAGGTGGCAGTGAGACAGCCAGGTGGGAAGGGCTCCCTGATAGAGCCTCCCGCCGACCTGTACATGGGGAAAAGTATACACTGGGGTGGGGCCACAGAAGTCTGCGCCTTTTACAGCGGGGAGGAGCCTGGCCTCTCCTCTTCCTGTGTGGAAGCTGAGATTCAAACTGTGAGGTAGGAAGCACACAAGCAGGGGCTCTGGCCTTGTGGAGAGTCCCTGTTCCTCCCTTTTTTCCTTTCTGTCCAATAAATTCCATTATTTTCACTCTTCAAATCATCTGCAAGCCTAACTTTTCATGGCCATGAAAAGGGACAAGGACCCTGTCTTTAGCTGAACTAAGGAAAAGTCCTGCAACAGTAGGGCCAAAGTCCTTGACCAAGGGCAAACACCAGACTTTGAAGTCTGGCTGCTTTGAGGCCCTGGGCTCCTTCTGCAAACTTCTGGGCACTCTATTTCATCCAACAATCCATTGTTGAGCCAGAGGATGCTGTTCCTGACATTCTTGCCTGAATATTGGACATCAGGAACCAAAAGCACAGCCCTGGTTGCATTGTTTTACGTGACTTGGGGACTCACCCTGGCTCAAGGCGCAGCTCAGAGGCATCTTCCTTCCCCTGATGGAAATGTACCTGCAGTGTGCCTGAATTGAAGCCATGAATCCATTGCTCTGAATCATTAGTTGTCTGTCTTCTACCATGAGTGAGCATGGGGGCACAGACCACGTGTCATGTCCACCTTGGCATTCCCAGTAGTTGGCCTCCTTTCTTAGACCTGGGAGAACCTTTGATGACCATGTGAATCTCCTGGGATAAGAGCTGTATTCCAGAGTGGAAAAGGTGTGACTGGCCTTGAGAGTAGAGAATGGAGGTATCAGCCCCTGGGAAGAGGGTGAGTGTCCGCTCCTGTATTGCAGGAAAGGCACTTCTCCTGCTAGTTTAGGTCAGATGGCATAGACAGCTCAGACCTGGCTTCTGGTGGAGGGACAAAGGGGTAACCACCACAGCTGCGCCTAAGAGAGAATGGACAAGGGTGAGTTACTCTCGTGCCTACAATTCCTGAGATGGGTGTGACGTCCCTGACTTGTTAGGAACCGTTAGGAAACACTGCAACAAGTGTGGGAGAGGCTGATTGTCTTAGTTTGTTTTCTGTTGCTTAAACAGAATACCTGAAACAAACAAGATGTCTTTCAGTGGATGAATGAATAAACTATAGTACATCCAAGCAATGGAATATTATTCAGCACTAAAAAGAAATGAGCTCTCAAGACATGAGAAGACACGGAGGAACCTTAAATGCATATTGCTAAGTTAAAGAAGCCGACCTGAAAAGGCTATATACTGTGTGATCCCAACAATATGATATTCTGTAAAGGCAAAATGATGGAGACAGTAAAAGAATTAGTAGTTGCCAGGGGCTGGAGGGGAAGAAAAGATGAATAGGTGGAGCACAAAGGATTTTTAGGGCAGCAACACTATTCTGCGTGATACTAAAATATGGATACGTGTCATTATATATTTCTCCAAACCCATAGAATGAATAACACCAAGAGTGAACCCTGATATAAATTACAGACTCTGGGTGATAACGATGTGTCACTGTAGGTTCGTTAATTGTAACAAGTGCACCACTGTGGTGGGAGATGTTGATTTGAGGGAGGACTGTTGGCTGTGGGTATATAGGAACTGTACTTTCCACTAAATTTTGCTGTGAGCCTAAAACTGCTCTAAAAAATATTTTTTGTTTTTTATAATTCCACTAGATCACTGTAAAAATTAAGTCTTCTTAATTAAAAGTATAATGATATTTCATAATATAAAATTACAGGAAATTTAAATTTCTATGTTCCTAACTAAAATTTTATTGGAACGCAGTCACGCCCATTTGTTAATAGTTCTATAGCTGCTTTCAGGCTACAACAGCAGGGTTGAGTAGTTGCAATGGAAACCAAATTCCCACAAAGCCTCAAATATTTACTAGCTGGCATCTTACGGAACAAGTGTGCTCTTGTCTATCCACTTTCCAAGGCAGAGAGTGGATTGAATGTCGAAGGCAAATAGAACATTTCCAGCCAGGGTACTGGTCACAAAGGCCAATGAACTGTATCAGGTAGTTATGATGTTTTTACTTTTAGTGCAACCCATGTGAATTTTAGACAGTTTCATGCAAGTCACCAGAATCCCATTTAGGCACTGAGGTCTCTCTGCTTTTTTACCTCAGGGTTTATAGTCAGTGGATAATTACCTAACCTCCCCATGTTTTGGTGGGCTTATTATAGAAGTACTTCAGGGGACTGGGAACGGTGGCTCACGCATGTAATCCCAGCACTTTGGAAGGCCGAGGCAGGCGGATCACTTGAGGTCAGATCACTCTACTTATTGAGACCAGCCTGGTCAACAAGGTGAAATCCCATCTCTACTAAAAATACAAAAATTATCTGGGTGTGACAGTGCACAACTGTAATCCCAGCTACTTGGGAGGCTGAGGCAGGAAAATCACTTGAACCCGGGAGGTAGAGATGGCAGTGAGCTGAGATGGCACCACTGCCCTCGAGCCTGGGCGAAGTGTGAGATGCCACAAAAAAAAAAAAAAAAAGGTATTTCCAGGGATCTGCAGTGGGAATGAGCTCAGTTGCCACAGCAGTAACCAGCCCATCACCTTGCCCTTAATTAGCTTTCTTGCCTTTGTTTTCTCTCTTTCCTTCTCCCACATTTCTGCTTCCTGACATAATTTCCCAAGTAAACTACAAACAACCAAGTATTTTTCTCCGATCTTGCCCTCATAGGAGCTCAAAGTAAGAGAATAATATTGTTCTATGTTGTTTAAAGCATCAATTGTTTAATTATTTGGAATTCCAAACACATACAAACTTTCTACTTATATTTTTGTTATTGAGAATTTAATTATTTTGTGATCAGAGACCATACTCTGTGGTTATTTTGTGATATTGTGCTGGCCTAGAGCCAGAACCAGAGCAAAACTATTTTATAAAATGCAAAACTGTTTTTAGATAAGTTGAAATGGCTGCCCCATTCTCCTTACAATAACTACTGTCCTTGGCCTCTGTAAATAGAACTGTTAGTTTGTTCTTCAAAACTATGTAAAGCTGTTTACCTTTTCTTATCAGTAACTGCCAGAATTGCTAGCCTTTGCTTACCGGCAATTGCCAGACTAAGCAGCCCAAGCTAGTTCCATCCTGGCTCCTGTGGCTTGTAATAAGTAACTAAGGTCTGTGATTTCCACCTTAACCAGATAATGTGTAAACAAATGTTTATCTTGACTTCTGTAAACCACTTAAGTAACAAACGGAATGACAAAAGTCCCCTGGCCCTTGGAATGTCCGGAGACCCCCCCACCCTCATCTCTGCCCAGGAGGTAATTTACAGAATCCACTAGCCCTCGGAATGTCTGAAGCCTTTTCATCCCCATCCCTGCCCCTCACCCCCACTCCCAAGGTGGTTTTTCGGGTATAAAAAATCGTGGCACCCTCCTGTTGCCACCACAGGTTGGAGAGACGTGAGTCCTCTGTGGTCGCCGGCATAATAAATGACCCTGCAATCTGGCATACTTTTGTCTTGTGATAACTTTCTACGCTCCGGTCAAATACAACAATTTCAGGCCTTTGAAAGTAACTTTTATGGCCCTTGATTTTGTATAACAAAGTCGTGCTTAGTGCTTTCAGAGAAAATATAAAAGTCCCTGCCATCAAAGGAAGAAACAAGGGAGAAAAGGAAGTTGCTAAGTTTCAGCACTTTAGAGCTTGGGGGGACAAGTTAGATTTCTATTTTATGGAGAAGGAGGTGGAGGCAGGTTGGGTTCTAAGGTGTCATTCAAGACACACAGTCATAACTCTTTAGTGAGAGTAGAGCTCGGGCCCCAGGGATTGCTGTGGTCAAGTTGCAGACAAAAACTACCACTCATTGGAAGACAGGAGAGGAATATTTCAGGTGTATCTACATTGAGTCAACAAATAAAAGTTCAACTTGGTTGCTAATAGGACCCACTCTGCTAACTGCCACTTTGTATAGAACTCCTAGAGGAAGATGGCTTCCAGTAATGAACCACCCTGTTTTTAGGACTAGAAAGCTCAGGAAGCTGGTGGGTGAGGAATGAAAACCTTAGTTCCACTGGCACTGAAGGAGGGGCCAGGAGAGCAGTGGCATCATAAGCCACAGGGTGGGGCAGCGGGGGAGGGGCGGCAGCAAGGCTGGGGCATTGTGAGGTGTGGGGCGGGGCATTGTGAGTCACCTGCCTGGTCTTCCACCTGGGCCAGTGGGCTTCAGTCTGTAGGTGACTGCAGGAGGAGCAGCTCCTTTTGTACTCTCTTCAGGCAGTTGTATCTCAGCGCTTGTTGGGTTCCTAACCTATTAAATTAGCCATCTGTTTTTGACCCTCCCAGACAAGTCAACTCAGGAGAGGCGGCAGGGTGCGGGCCTTGGCCCGAGCCCCGGCTGGGGCCGGGCTGTGGGGTGGGCAGGCGAGCCGCAGGCAGGACCATCTCTGAAAGTGCGGCATAGCCTCGGCCTAGGGCAGCAGGAGTGCCTGGCCAACACTGTGAGCGGAGGCACAGGTAGCGGCAGACAGGAGTAGAGGTGCCCCATGGGGAACATACTGAGCTGCTGTGTGCGCCCCAAGGTCTGCGAAGAGTCGGACCAGGATGAGGGCTCAGGGCGTCCTCCTGAATCTGAAATCTGTGAGGCAGCAGCTGAGGACACGACAGCAGCTAAGGACACGACAGTAGCTGAGGACACGACAGCTCCTGAGGACGCGGCAGCAGCTGAGGACACGACAGCACCTGAGGACGCGGCAGCAGCTGAGGACACCACAGCAGCAGTGCCCACGGCTGCTGCCACAGAACCTGCCGAGTTGACTGTTGAAGCTGGTGAGGGCCGTCCTGTGCACGACATCTGTGATGGGGAGATGCCTGAAGGTAAGGAGGTGATGGTACCATCTGCCCTGGCCACCCCTCTGGCTGCTGCTGTCTTCAAGGTCCCCTGGGGGGCATCCCCTACCTCAGGCTCCTTTTTGCCTGTAGTCAGCTTTTCCCAGGGCTGGTCAGAAGCAAAGACTGGCTCTGCCTTGCATTCCTTTTTCCACCGCTTAGTTTTTCTCCACGGAGTCCAGTCAATTTCTTTTCTCCTGCCCTCCCAAACACCCAGTTCCTGCTCCCTCATCTCATTCTCTCATGCTGGCCTGGGACCATTTATTTATGTCTCTTCTTGTCTGTAGCTCTGTTTATTATTCTGTGGGATTTTGTTGAGGCTTTTTTGGAATATTCTCTTCCTTTTTTCAATAAAAACTCAAATACCCCAACTTTCCAGTACCCATCTCATTCTTCTTTTGTACCTATCCAGATGGTACCTAAGTGAAGGAACCAGGTAAGTGCTTAGTTATTTCCTTCGTTAAAGTAGCTAAATCTCAGGACAATTCATACTGAAGTATTTGGGGATTTCTTTGAAATCCAAATGAAGGTTGCCCTGGGAGAGATTATAGGATTTTCTTGATGGGTTGCTTTAAGTCACCTTGATAGGTGCTTATTGTTTTCTAACTAATTTGAACACAAAAGGAAAGAAAATGAGGGGGTGCTTAAAGTAATTGTGAAAGGTGTGAAGTGTCATGGCCAGGGCTGCAGGAAAATGGGTGTTTGTTTTCCCCCAAAAGAGTTTACCTATGCAGGTCTGATGACTTTAAAATTCTTACTTTAACACAAAATGTCTCTAGATTTATTCAGGTGAATTAACAGACTTTATTTACCTCCTTGTTCTAAAAGAGAGGTAGCGACGGTTCGTGATCAAAACTTTCAAAAGACATGAAATGTCAACGTAGACTTTTAACGTGTGACATAAAGATTGAAGGTTAAAACTGTGGAGAGTGTTTGCTGCCATGGCTCTCCCTTTGTCCTTCCCCCGCCTGACAATAGCATCTTGTTCAAAGGTAAGAAAGTGAAGCATAAGAAGCTGGAAGCCATCATTCTCAGCAAACTAACACAGGAACAAAAACCAGCCCCACATATTCTCTCTCATAAGTGGTAGTTGAATAATGAGAACACATGGACACAGAGAGGAGAACGTCACACACTGGGGGATTCATTGTGGGGTGTGGTGTAAGGGGACGGAGAACATTAGGATGAATAGCTAATGCATGTGGGGTTTAAAACCTCGATGATGCATTTATAGGTGCAGCAAACCACCAGGGCACATGTATACGTATGTAACAAAGCTGCACATTCTGCACATGTATCTCAGAACTTAGAGTAAAACAAAACAAAACAAAACAAAAAAAACCCAACATTGGTTGGGCTCTTAGTTTTTTTCAGAGGTAGAATAATTAAGACTCATGATGAATGTGGCTTTGTAACTTGGAGTACTATCCTCACTTTTCAAGATGTTTAAGAATTTTGAGACCGAGCAGGAACCCGCATCCAAGAACAAAGCCCTTTGCTCCTCCCTCAGAATGAATGGAGACCAGAAATCAGATGTTTATGTCCAAGAAAAGCAGGATTTCGTTCAGCACTTCTCCCAGATCGTTAGGGTGCTGACTGAGGATGAGATGGGGCACCCAGAGACAGGAGATGCTATTGGCCGGCTCAAGGAGGTCCTGGAGTACAACGCCATTGGAGGCAAGTATCACCGGGGTTTGACGGTGCTAGTAGCGTTCCGGGAGCTGGTGGAGCCAAGGAAACGGGATGCTGATAGTCTCCAGCGGGCCCTGACTGTGGGCTGGTGTGTGGAACTGCTGCAAGCTTTCTTCCTGGTGACAGACGACATCATGGATTCATCCCTCACCCGCCGGGGACAGCTCTGCTGGTATCAGAAGCCAGGCGTGGGTTTGGATGTCATCAATGATGCTATCCTTCTGGAAGCATGTTATCTACCACCTGCTGAAGCTCTACTGCCAGGAGCAGCCCTATTACCTGAACCTGATCGAGCTCTTCCTGCGGAGTTCCTATCAGACTGAGATTGGGCAGACCCTGGACCTCATCACAACCCCCCAGGGCAATGTGGATCTCGGCAGATTCACTGAAAAGAGGTACAAATCTATTGTCAAGTACAAGACAGTTTTCCACTCCTTCTACCTTCCTGTAGCTACAGCCATGTACATGGCAGGAATTGATGGCGAGAAGGAGCATGCCAATACCAAGAAGATCCTGTTGGAGATGGGAGAGTTCTTTCAGACTCAGGATGATTACCTTGACCTCTTTGGGGATCCCAGTGTGACTGGCAAAGTTGGCGCTGACATCCAGGATAACAAAAGCAGCTGGCTGGTGGTCCAGTGTCCGCAACGATCCACTCCAGAACAGCGCCAGATCCTGAAGGAAAATTATGGGCAGAAGGAGGCTGAGAAGGTGTCCCGAGTGAAGGCATTATATGAGGAGCTGGATCTGCCGGCCGTGTTCTTGCAGTATGAGGAAGACAGTTACAGCCACATTATGGGTCTCATTGAACAGTACGCAGCGCCCCTGCCCCCAGCTGTCTTTCTGGGGCTTGCGCGCAAAATCTACAAGCGGAAAAAGTGACCTAGAGACTGCAAGGGTGGATAGGAGGCTCTCAATAAATAAATTATTGTGTGAAAAAAAAAAAGAATTTTGAATAAACAAATGTATTATGTGAATTGATTATACCTTTATACACAAAATGTGTAAGTACTTGTGTAAACTTATACTCTAGTTGCTGGTGTAAGGAAAGCATGTGAGTGATTTTACACAACAGTTCATAGATGGGTGGTGTTGGATTAGAGAACAAAAAAGGCTCTTTATTGCTATTCTTTAGGATTACAATACAGTTTATGTATGTCTCTTTTGGCCCCTTCCAATACAAAGAAGGCTTGTGTATGCTCTCCTTATATATTCCTAATGAAGAAATGAAGACAGAGATCTCACATGACTATGGAAGACAGAACTAAGGTTCTGTGTCTTCAGAATGACATGGAAGTGACAAATATGCTGAATTTACTTTTTACTGTTTTTTTTTTTTTAAAGATGGGGTTTCACCATGTTGGTCAGGCTAGACTCAAACTCCTGACCTCAGGTGATCCGCCCACCTCAGCCTCCCAAAGTGCTGGGATTACAGGTGTAAGCCACCACACCCGGCTACTTTTTAAAAAATTTTTAAACTCCAGAATACATCCTATATTTTGTCTATAAAATAGGCCTCTCTTTTAAAAGGTATTGCCATCTTGATTTATTTTATGCAAAGTTGATTTTACACAACTCAAAGGGAACATTTACCTCTTTCTTTTTTTTTTAAATAAAAAAGAGTCTCACTATGTTACTCATGCTGGCCTAAATTCCTGACTTGGGTTCGAGGGATTTTCTTATCTCATCCTCCTGAGTAACTGGGAGTCCAGGCATGCGCCACCTTGTCTGGCCTTGTCTTATGTCTATACATTCATTTCAATGGATAAGAATAAAAGTAGAGGTATTAAAATAGCCTCCTTGTAGAATAAATGAGTTGATAAATTGTTATAAGTGATTACGTATTTTTTCTTTTCTCTCTGTATAGAAATGGCATTAGAATCTAACCCTTCTGAAGCAAGGACATCCCAAACAGATAGTGAGACAACATTGTTTTTTCTGCCAAGAAAAAGAGCGAAAAATCTTGTTTGATCAGATGTATTATAAAAAGTATTTAGAAAAACTCATATTATCCGACACAGTGGGAGGCCTCTTTCCCCTCCTGGATTTCCCCTCTGGGGTCCCGCTTCCACACACTCTCTCTTGGGGAAGCTTTCTCTCTTCTCGGTTTCTCTCTCTCTCTCTCTAAATAAATCACTTTTCTGCAAACAAACAAACAAAAAGAAAAACTCATATTGGTTTAATACCAGAATGACAATCCATTTCTTACCATGGGAGTGGACCAGGCCATTCATAAGGAATGCTCCTATTACCTAAACAATTCTCACTAGGCCCTGTCCTCAGCATTAAGGGTCCCATTTTAACATGAGATTTGGACAGGGAGACATATCCAAACCATATCAGAGGTGTATTTCCCAGTTCCTTCCAGAGACATGGGCTTCTCACACCTGGAGAGCATGAAAGCAGAAAAAAGAAAAGCAAGTCCATGTCCCTCACACTTCAGTGATAGGAATGTTTGCCTACAAGGCCCTTCCAGCATTAAAGGTGGAGGCAGTGTAGGAAACAAAGCATGGCCCAAGTCCTCTTGGAGCTTTTATTATTGTGGCTTTTTTTTTTTTTTTTTTTTTTCAGACACCGTGTCCAAATTAGGCTTGTCTATTTATTTTAAGATTTAAATTTGGCCAGGTGCGGTGGCTCATGCCTGTAATCCCAGCACTTTGGGAGGTGGAGGTGGGTGGATCCTGAGGTTAGGAGTTCGAGACCAGCCTGACCAAAATGCTGAAATCCCGTCTCTACTAAAACAAAAACTAGCCAGCATGGTGGGGTGTGCCTCTAATCCCAGTTACTCAGAGGCTGAGGCAGGATAATTGTTTGAACCCTGAAGGCGGAGGTTGCAGTAAGCCAAGGTCACACCATTGCACTCCTGCCTTGGTGACAGAGCGAGACTCCTCCATATCAAAAAACAAAAAAGAACAAACAAACAAAAGATTAAATTTAAGATAGGTTACTTTTCAGTTGTGTAAAGACCCTGTTTTTGTTTGTTTTGTTTGTAGCAACATTTTTTTTTTTTTTTTTTTTTTTGAGACGGAGTTTCGCTCTTGTTACCCAGGCTGGAGTGCAATGGCGCGATCTCGGCTCTCCGCAACCTCCGCCTCCTGGGTTCAGGCAATTCTCCTGCCTCAGCCTCCTGAGTAGCTGGGACTACAGGCACGCGCCACCATGCCCAGCTAATTTTTTGCAGTTTTTAGTAGAGTCGGAGTTTCACCATGTTGACCAGGATGGTCTTGATCTCTCGACCTCGTGATCCACCCGCCTCGGCCTCCCAAAGTGCTGGGATTACAGGCTTGAGCCACCGCGCCCGGCCCTGTAGCAACATATTAGTAGATGACCACCGATTGTGGTTGGAGAGGCTTACAGGGATTCTGGTGCATCTAGAGATAGGTGCCTGGCCAGGAAGTAGTTCTTAGAGCTGTAAGCTCTTAGATTCCGGTAATTAAGCTACGTGTAAATGCGGAATGGGAGAATACTAACGGATCATGGCTCATATATGCAACAATTAAATTTTTTAATTAGCTAAATTTTTCATCTGGCCTAATTTTTGTGCCCTTTTGTACATGAGTATGATTTCACTCGTATGTAATAAAAACAGAAAGTAAACTAGGTCAAAAAATAAATGTAAGTTTTTACATTTTACTTTATGAGATTTATCATGCCAGAGAGTTTAAATTACAAATTGTTGATATTAATTTTTTTAAATCTAATTTTCTCTGATTGTACATAAGAGTAGTCAGTAAGATGTTAACAACTACTTTTATATTATTTGTGTCAGAAGTGACCGGTTTTTTTTTTCTTTCATTCTTAGCACAAGAAATAGGAGAAAACAGCGGTACTAACCATGTAAGTAAACAGTCAAAAAGTTGAGAAATTGATAGTTTGATGTAAAACTGTGTCTCTCTTGATTCCTTTAAATTATTTTTTATATTTTCTTTCAAACTTTATACACTGTCATATTATCCCATTACTTCACAACATAGATGGACCTGTTTTCATGAATGCTCACAGTGTTAGAAATATTTAAGTTAATTAAGATATGTTTATTTTTAGCCTGGTCAACATAGCAAGACCTCATCTCTACAAAATGGTGAAATAACAAATTAGCCAGGCATAGTGGCATATGCCTTTAGTTTTACCTACTCAGGCAGCTGAGGCAGAGGATTGCCTGAGCTCAGGAGTTTGAGGCTGCAGTTAACCATCATTGCACCACTGCCCTCCAGCCTGGGTGACAAAGTCAGACCTTGTCTCAGAAAAAGGAAAAAAGTTATTACTAATTTAAAAACAGGCCTAAAATTTGTCCTACCAAAAAGGAGAGAGAAAAACATAAACTTTAGTTTTTATTTTATTTTATTTATGTTTGCGGAGAAGATTGCTGTGGTTTATCTATATTTTATTTCTGTAGGTTTTGGGGGGAACACGTGGTATTTGGTTACATGAGTAAGTTCTTTAGTGATGGTTTGTGAGATTTTGGTGCACCCATCACCTGATCAGTACCCACTAAACCTGATTTGTAGTCTTTTATCCCTCGCCCTTTTCCCACACTTTCCCCTGAGTTCCCAGAGTCCGTTGTATCATTCTTATGCCTTTGCATCCTCGTAGCTTAGCTCCCATGTATGAATGAGAATACACAATATTTAGTTTTCCATGCCTGAGTTCCTTCACTTAGAATGATAGTCTCCAATTCCATCGAGGTTCCTGGGAATGCCATGAATTTACTCCTTATTGTAACTGAGTGGTATTCCATCACATATATATATATATATATATATACACACACACACATACATATATATATGTGTGTATATATATATATATATATATGTATATAAAATATATACACGTATATCACAATTTTTTTATTTCCTCATTGACCGATGGGCATTTGGGCTGTTTCCGTATTTTTGTAATTGAAATTTGTAAATTGTAATTTGTTTGAGTTCCTTGTAGATTCTGGGTAATAGCCCTTTGTCAGATATATGAGTGTGAAGACTTTCTCCCACTCTGTGGGTCGTCTGTTTACTCTGCCAATTGTTCCTTTTCCTGTGCAGAAGCTCTTCCGTTAAGTCTTACCTGTTTGTTTTTGTTGCATTTGTTTTTGGGTTCTTGGTCATGAAGTTTTTGCCTAAGCCAGTGTCTAGAAGGGTTTTTCCAAGGTTGTCTTCTAGAATCTTTATGGTTTCAGGCATAGATTTATGTGCTTGATCCATCTTGAGTTGATTTTTGTGTATGGTGATAGTTGAGGATCCAGTTTCATTCTCCTGCATATGGCTTGCCAATTATCCCAGCATCATTTGTTGAATAGGGTTTGCTTTCTTCACTTTATATTTTGTTGGCTTTGTTGAAGATCACTTGGCTATAAATATTCAGGTTTATTTCTGGGTTCTTTCTTCTGTTCCATTGGTGTATGTGCCTCTGTTTATAGCCGTTTCATGCTGTTTTGGTAACTATGGCTTTATAGTAGAGTTTGAAATTAGGGAATGTGATTGATGCCTCCAGATTTGCTGTTTTTGCTTAATTTTGATTTTGCTATGTGGAGCCTTGTTTGGTTCCATATCAGTTTAATTATTGTTTTGTTCTGGTTTTGTGAAGAAGGATGATGGTATTTTGATGGGAATGTCATTGAATTTGTAGATTGCTTTTGACAGTATGGTCATTTTTACAATATTCATACTACCCATTCATGAGCAGGAGATGTCCTTCCTTTTGTTTGTGTCCATCATTTCATTCAGCAATGTTTTGTGGTTCCCAACAGCATATCAAAAAGATAATCCACTGTAATGAAATGGGTTTCATACCAGGGATCCAGGGATGGTTGAACATACACAGGTCAATAAATGTGATACACCACATAAACAGAACTCGAAACAAAAATCACATGATCATCTCAATAGACACAGAAAAAGCATTTGACAAAATCCAGCATCCTTTTATGATGAAAACCCTCAGCAAAATTGTCGTACAAAGGTCATACCTCAATGTAATAAAAGCCGTCTATGACAAACCCACAGCCAGCATAATACTGAAGAGGGAAAAGTTGAAAGCATTCCCCTTGAGAACTGGAACAAGGCAAGGATGCCCCAGTCTCACTACTTTTATTCAGCATAGTACTGGAAGACCTAGCCAGAGCAATCACACAAGAGAAAGAAATAAAGGGCATCCAGATCAGTAAATAGGAAGTCAAACTGTCACTGTTTGCTGATACGATTTTATACTTAGAAAATCCCAAAGACTCCACCAGAAAGCTCCACGAAACTGATAAATGAATTTAACAAAGTTTCAGTAGACAAAATTAGTGTACACAAATCAGTAACGCTGTTGTACCCTAACCACAAATGCTGAGAATCGAACCAAGAACTCAGCCCCTTTTATAATAGTTGCAAAAATAAAATAAAATACTTAGGAATAGACCTAACCAAGGAAGTGAAAGACCTCTACATGGACCTTTGATGGTAAGCCTTTGGTTTTGACTTACTACATTACTAGGTATAATTATCTTCTAGTTTTTGTTATTAACCTACTATGTAACTTCTTTCATTTCTTGTTAAAGATCATAAAATTTCACACTCTTTATTCATGCTGACTGCAGTTAGATGATTTTTCTTTTTTGTTGACTACCTTAAATAATACCTATAAACAGTAAACTGTTAGGAGTGTTTTTGGTGTAATTAAATGTAGTAAGACTTATTTTCCAAATTATAACTGAATTAATTTATTAAATACTTGTCAAAGTTTTTGATTTACTCAAAATTCTGTGCTCAGCAGCTGGAGGTAGAAAGAGTAAGAGCCCTCCCTTACTCTTATGGAGAGGCATACTTTCTCATGAGGGAAATACTCAGCAAGAATTAGTATCTTCTAACCAGTGGTGAATTTGATTAATTAGTGTAGAAAAAAACAAAAACAAACCTTTTTTGTGTGTGTGGCTGCTGGCAAAAAGACCCAAGAGGTAGATGGAATCAAGCTTGCTGAAACAAGGAAAGAGAAACACAGTCTTCTAGGCAGAGAGCAAGGGTATAGCAGGAAAATGCCTAGGTGCAGGTCAGATGATTTATAGAATGAAATTAATCAACTTTTGAAAGGAATGGTAAGTATTCTCTGAGATTTTCATTTGAGTCATGTCATGGTAGTCTTATTTAAACATGAAGTGAAAGTTAAATTTTTTAAGTTGTTATCTGTTTTCAGGGTGTGAGAGAATATTTAAGTGATAATCTTTTTATCCTCCACATAAGAAAGCAGGACTAGGCTGGGCGCGGTGGCTCAAGCCTGTAATCCCAGCACTTTGGGAGGCCGAGGCGAGTGGATCACGAGGTCAAGAGATCGAGACCATCCTGGTCAACATGGTGAAACCCCGTCTCTACTAAAAATATAAAAAATTAGCTGGGCATGGTGGTGCGTGCCTGTAATCCCAG